ACTGAGTGCAGGAGCTCCATTAAGAGATAAGGTGTCAAAACTCTTTAAAGAGGCCAGACATCCCATGTCTGCTTTTTCTTTTATTGCCATCAAAAAAGGTGTCTCTTGGTCCAGGAGGACGTGATTTAAATTTCATTAGAAAATAGAGAGAGAGAGAGAGACCTTTTGGATTGTAACCCAAGAATAAATTGGGAACCTGATTTTTGAATATATCCTGCAGCTCTTTCAATATGATACAATGTCAGACCCTTAATTATGTTTTGTGATATATATACTTTTTAATATTTTTTAAAAACTGGCATCTACGAGGTTATTTAAATGTCCCTGTGAATTAACTATACATGTAATCTTGTAAGACTAGTGAAAGCTTCAGCAGCTAAAAAAAGAAGGCCATTTGCTCTTAAAACTTTGTCTTGTGTTCCTACACAGCAGTGTAGAATTCGTTTCAGGCGAATAAAGACAAACTTGGAGAATTGCTTGTACCTAACACTTCTCCAGATGGCCTATGGCTATCTTTAAGAATTTCCCATACAAGGACACATACTGAAGAGCCCTTAAAGCTGCCAAGTAGCACTTATTTTATTTGGAATGGGCCGGCCAAGGCTGAAACACACAGCGCACAGGAAACATGAAAGAGTGATTGTTCTTGCGTGACTGGTAGGAGAGGAATAATGTATAACACTGTGTCATTTGAGACACAGGTATAGCTTGAGAGCGACCCAACATTCTTGCAGAGGCAACAGAAAATGCAGAGGATCCTTGTGGTGTGCCGCACATATTCCTCTGCCTGTAAATGCCATTTTATCATAACTTACCAGATGCACTGTGCTCTTTTGATTATGTTCCTTTGATCCTACCCAGATCAGGAGACAAACCAAACACAACAGAGAAACACTAAGGGCTTTCATGTATGCTGAATGTACCCGGTACAGGCCAATCTGAGATAAAACTCCACTTGTTTATTCTCTCGATTCACTACTCCATGTCTAAATACAACGCTGATAAACCGACGAGAGACCCTTATTACATCTATGGTGCTAACACACTGGATGGTAAGATGGAGGCTGAAGAGCACTTTAATATGAACTTACACTGTGAGGGAGAGAGCAATAATGTACAGTGTCTGATTCAGCTGTATAAACAAGACTGATCTAATCCATTACAGAGCAGTCATGTTGCTATTCCTGAAGACAATGAATTACTGTCTCTGTCACTGCCATAGGCTGCAAAAAGACCGACGACACGGCAGCTCCACAAAAGTAAAGCCAATCTTGATCTCCTCCTGGTTGCTGGCTGCAGTATAGATCATAAACCCCGAACTCATCCATGTTAATTGATGGGACATGGACCAAACTGAAAACTCAAAGTGCACATGGTTTTAATTGGTTTGATTTTAATTAGTCATTTGATACTCTATGCCATTTACACCCAGATTCAAACAATGTGTATGTGTGCAGCACTTTCTCTAGGTTTGAACCACCGACCTTCTGGTTAGTGGACGACCCGCTCTGTCTCCTGAGCCGCAGCAAACACGCATATCAATAATAATATCAATAACACACCTCCAAACCCTAATCGTATCAGGGCAGACTGGCGTAGTTGCATGACAGCGTTTGCTCCCGGGATATTTTAGCTTCTTTTTTTTGTACAATGATAGCAAATGGAGATGTGTCCTTTATCTTTTTATGCAGCCTATGGTCACTGCACTGTTTTAAATCCCAAGTCAAAGTGCATGGACATGCAAGACCACTTGCTGACACGTTGAACTGATGGAGCATCACATTTGAGGCCCTCGGGCATGTGCAGCTGTGTTTCAATTGAAACAGGCCTCTATTGACATGCAAGAAATAATTTACCCACATAAAAATATACTGCAGCACAAAGGAGGTGTTTTTCTTTATTTTACAGTGAAGATATTTATCATTTGAAACAATATTAAACTCTCCATTTGAAACACTGGTCTCAGATTATGGAGTTCATTGCAGTCGGTACATTTTAATCTGTTGGAAGCTCTGCTCTCCTTCACCTGACACTCGGTGGTCTCCCCCTCTTATCTCATGATAACACCACTGGGGTGTTTCCCTCATCTGCAATGTATTCTCCCTATCGATCACTGTCTTTACAATCAGGTAGGCCTGATTTATCCTCTTCGACCTGCTGTTGCCTTCTAAATCTTCCTCTGTGTGGCCATAACATTTCAACAAATGTTGTTAAAATGGCAGTTACCATACATATTTTATTGCGGCCTGCATTTTCATTCTGAACTTATGACTTTTGTGGTAGCCTATTTTTCTCTATCAGTATAGCTATATTTTAACTAGTCTATTTTCCCTGCAGGTGATGTAAAAACTTAATAAAGTAAAATATATTAAGCTATTATTCTGATCCTAACAAAAAAACCTCTGCATATGCTACTAACATTATATTATAGAAATAACTCTATTCATTGTTATTAACTATTGATGGTTTATCTCGCCAACACTGTTAGTAGCTGTCAAAACTTGACCATAGCAACCACTAGCCTGCTCATCAGACTGCATATTTCACCTCTGAAGGGATTTACCATTACAAATATATTGTTAAAGTGGTGGTGGGGCCCATTTGGACTGCAGGGGCTGCAGGGGAATACTTTATGACACAGTATTGCTTTTATTGTTAATTTCATTTCACGGATTTGTTAGAGCTGAAACAAAACACATTGTGCTATTCAATGCAGTTGCTTAGAAGGGGCTATGCTTCTCATTCCAAATTTAAAATGCTGTTATTATAATTAAGGGAAGTGTTTGGATTATTTTGAGCTGTCCATTATGTTGGAGTGCACAAAATGCTGTTCAGTTTAAAGTCTGGAAATATACAAATATTGATACAAACTTTAATTTTTTACCTCCCCCCCTCTTTTAATTATGTATTGTTTTTTTTAACACAGGTTAGGGCCTCATATTAGCTCTTAACACAGGGCCCTAGAAACTTAAGCCCTCTGCTCTCAGGGCTCAACCAGGGAGTCACTGTCCGTAATAGAAATTGATCCAAGCAATTTGTAAAACCAGTCACAAGGGCGACTGTGTTATGTCAGAAATGCCTTTTCTATGTTGATAGTACAGTCACTGTGTTCACCTGAACCTAAATTGAGCAACCTCTGTGTGTGATATGTTCCAGGTCATTAAGCAGCACCTCTGAGGGTATTAGTGCTGGGTGGTGTGGATCTGAGTGCAGACCCCCACCCTTCGCTCTCTGCTTATAATTTGCAATGGGCTATAGGCAAGAGCTAGATTCTTTATCAGAGTGGATGGGTCAGACTGACCTAATATGCTGTTATGCTTTCAAAGACTAGTGTGCACTGTGCAGTAATTTCATCACTTTTTCGAGTGAAGACAGTTAAGATGGACAATATCCCTCAATATCACACTAATCAATCACTTTTACAGCGCATTACTATGAGAGGGAGCTTCGCCCCATGGAGTGCAGTCAGATATAAATAGCAGATTGGCTTCTTTCACGGCTCTTTCTCAATTCCCTTTAGTATTCGCTGCATGCATCCTATGCACTCACCCATCTCATGAACACACATGCTCATTCACATCGGGCTCAGTGCGATCACATGATGAAACTTAAGCCCTATACACCAGGTTCTGTGGCACAGTGACATTTTACGGGATCTGCATCAATTCAATAAACACAAAACTAGTTTTCAGGCTGCATTTTAGCCTAAACTCAGCCAGTTTCAACCCATTTCAAGATAACTGTGCAGTGAGTATTTGCTGAGTAACAGTGAAGTGGGTAGAGTTTGGTGGAAATGATGCCCTTCGAAAGAGAAGACAGAGTCTTTGTGAGTGCCCCCGAAATTAGTTTGTGTCGTGTTTCCCTGATCCATTTATAATGCCCTGGCCGTAATCCGCCTATTATAATGTGCCCTTTAATTACAACAGGCTGCTGCTCTTGTAGTAAGAGTTAAACATCAGATTATTGTGCCACCTGTCATGTTGTAGCTGTGAAACTAAAGGATTATATGAAACCTGCAGCTACAGAAGTTAGATATCAGAAAAGCATGCAGAAGAATATAAATATTCATATAAACTTTTGCCACTTCTATTATAATTTCCAGAAGAACATTAAGGTTGTGTATAATGAGCAGCATCCTTGTTATTTATGGTACTTGTATCTCCTAACATCTCCACATTATTATAGCCTTACAGAACTTTTTCGAGTGATATTTTTATAGAATCTCTTATTCGATGAGGAATCGGATTAATTCAGCTCACAGCAGACCTATTCCATTTAAATCAATTGCACTTTAAAGGTGAAACTTTCTGCACGTCTCAGGTCTGTAATATATCCATCTCATATGCAATGCAGTGCAAGTGTGTGCAATGTGTGTGATGTTGCTGCAGTGAAATCAATTGGATTTGACAGGATTTGTCAAGTCCACCAGAATTCCTCCTCTCGTCACATATGCCTGTGGCCTCTGTGCAGGCGGGCAGACAATACAGTCAGGGATGAATATGCAGAAAAAACCCCACAGACATTCAAAACACGTTATCCTCTTCTTAGTGGCATATTGCGTATGTGCACATTATGATGAAGGATGGGCTGTCTGCGGCTTTTCTTCTGCAATTCTGAGAGGATTACCCTTTATTTTTTTCATTTCTTTTATCTTTCTGGTGGTTTGATATTCATGTTTATTTTTCTGTATATACGCTGGATCCCAGTTTTCACTGATCTGGACCAAGAGGAGTGCTTTTCTCAAAGTCACAGAGATGTTGGGGGTCAGGTTATTGTGATGGCCATTCAAGATTGAGGAGGACAAGCAAATAAGAGTTGAGCAGTACACAGGTCTTATCCCATGTAGAGGGGTGAATAGGATTTATTTTCAGTGCAGCAATGACCCACAACCCCAACCCCCTCCATCCCCTCACCCTCCCTCCACACCGTTGCAGTACCTTGTTGTGCTGGACTGAGCCACCAGCCCATCCGGAGTATCACAAACACCCCATAGCGCCTCCTCTCTGCATGAACCCACTGATCATGTTCAACCTTTTCTCCCCTCCTTCTTCTTCTCCTCATCTAAACCCTCGCTGTGCCTAGTCGCCCTAAATGTGTTTTAAATGCAGCTTAAGTGACATCACATTGCTGCAGTGCTGCAGTCAATGAAAGGTGTCAGTCGTCTCCTCTGATACCAAGAATTTGTCCACTGGCCACTTTGCTCAGCTCTGCTCCAGACATCATGGCGTGACTGCGTGTATTCATTTGCTCTTATTACGCAGGTGGACGCCTGCATGAGGAAGCAGATAGAGGCGCAGCTTGGGAAGAAGAAGCTCTGCCTGTTCTCCGGGACACAGCAACAACACCATCTCCCTGCTGCCACATCCCACCACCGCATCGCTTCGTTGGAGGAGCGGACAGACAGGAGTCATGTGCGAGAACTAAACTGCTGGAAGGATTGCGCACGGAGCTGGAGGAGACCGCGTGTTGACGGTGCATGGGTGGGATTCCTTCATTGCGCCTCAGACAGGGGAAGTTATCACAACAAATGGCCTCAGCAAAGGCAAACAGCTGCCGGTGAAACAGGCGTGTTTCAAGACTGAAACCCGGCGTGGACGCACAGTTTTCGACCTTCGTGGCTTTTTCTGACGGACTGGAAGCCTTGGTTTCACTGTGAGGCGGCTTTATTTTATCTCCAGGAGCGCAAATCCTGGAGCCTCGGACTGCAGCTTCCCCCCCTTCGCCATCAATTCATAACAAGCGTGAGGCTTTTATCGGATATGTAATCCAGCGTTACAAACCTTGTAGTCTACGCAGGGGGACTTGATTCGACCACGTACTGACGCTTTAACCCATTTATTTGAGCCCGGCTCCGGACACGAGCGTCACACTCTCCTGAAACCGCGGATTTGGGGGATTTCAGCTTCACACGTTCTGCCTCCAAAAGCCTCAATCGGATCGTACTGGGATTTAAGGTGGGGTTTGATCCACACGCAGGTAGTCGGAGGAAGACACCCCGTGTTCTCTGGTTGGTGACACTCAGCAGATTGTCGCTCGTCGCGTCCTTTGGATTTTTCTGCAGAGCCGTGACGGTTTTACGCGTGAATTTGGGAATAAACGAACTCTCTTCAGCACCTGAGATTCGCTGTGTTTACCCGGTGGAAACAAGTGCGTGGACGGTGGAAATCATGTGCAATAGGATCAACCCTCTAGAATCTGCGTTATCAGTCCCACTTTTGGTAAGTCACTTACAGACTTGGTGAGAAATGTCCAGTGGACTTTGGCACCGCTGGATGAAATGTATGTCCCTCTGAACAGTCTCTGATGTACCGCATTGATTGTGCAAACTACTAAATGTAGCCTAGAATAATAGGCCTTATCTATCTATCTATCTATCTATCTATCTATCTATCTATCTATCTATCTATCTATCTATCTATGTCTGTCTATCTATCCATATATCTATCTATCCATCCATCTGTCTGGTTCTGTGTGATGTCTGCATTATGTGCAAATCTTATTTTCTTGCTCTACTTTAAATGCAGCCATTCACAGTAGTCTCCTGGTAATGATGATGTGATGTGTGTCTATGTGCTCAGGTTACTTGAGAGACCCAGCCCACACGTGGTGGAGCAGATATTGATAGTATTAGTGCTGTTCCAGAGTCAGTTAGGGCTGAGTCCAATGGGCCCAAAAATAGCCCTGTCATACCGTGGCCATGCTTCGGCTCCTGTAATTGTGCGATGAAGATAGTTACTGTGACACAGAAGTTGAATTCCCAGAGACTGGAGCCGCATGTGGAAATGGCCCGGGCGTGTCTGCATCAGCACGACACATGCAGAGATCAAGACTTTTCATAAATTAGCAGCAGCACTGAAATTCTCCCATCAGGGCCAAGTGCACTGACTGATGAGAGAGTGGACACTTTCACTGTGGATCACTGGATTTTGAGGGGAAAATACTTGCTAATGTCCTGTGACTTGGAATTAACACAACTAGATTATTTTTTGGGTTTGTAGTGAGGCCTGGCCCAGTAGGATGTAAGTGTGCGTATGAGTTAGAGAGATGCACACCTTTGTTTATGATAATCAGCTGTGCACGTTTAGAGATGACAAGGAGATGCAGAACTACTGATGCTGCATGATAATGATCTCATGGGTGCTGTGAGTAAATGCTGGTGATTACGTTTGCAGCTGGGATTTTTAGCCTCCTCATCATTTTCCAGTTACTCAATAAACTCAGCCTCCTCAAATCCAACTCAGCATTTGTAGGAAGTTTGTGACACTCCAGCTTTTCTAATTTGGTGCTAAGTGCCAAAGAGGTCAGTGTTTGGTCTGTGGAAACACTGTTCATCATTTTGGAGGACACAGGCAACAAAACATGGGAGAAGTGAGTGTCCAGGATGGCTGCATCGGACGCGGCCAGGTTGTAAATCTATTAAATTGAGGTGGGGTTAGATGTCAATATACTTACACTAAAGTCAAGTGAACATCCCTCATACAGCTCTGCTTTATCCACATAATACCATCCAAGACATCCCCTGGGGAAGATGTCGGCACTGGACAGCTGTGTTGCCACATCAGGGCGTTCAGTGAGTGCTGCTGCAGCTTGCATTGCCGTTGGGAAACACTGATGCATCTTTTGTATGCACCCTTATTTCCCCCGACTGAGCCTTAGGACTCTATGTATGTTCCGACATGGCAGAGCACCACCTCTTCACAGCTGTCGACTGAAATTAAACAGCAAGATGAAATATGAAAGTTGTCACAAGGTCTTGGCATTGGTCCATTTTCTGACAGATGCCTCCAATGTCTAAGAGCAATAAAACATACTGTAAATATCGGAACAGGCCTTAATGGTAAATCACAAAAACAAAGGAGCAGCTAACTCTGGGACGTGGCTCAATGTGATTGTTAAGTCTTCAAGTAAAGGTTGAGCCCAGTGTTTTTGACTGACTGTAAGAATAGAACAAATTGAAATTGTTTAAAGCTTTGCATCACAGGTTTTAATGCAGAGGACTTGAAATGACTCCTAAAAACAGGGGTTAATAAGGTTTGTTCTTAGGAGGGTTAATACTCTTGAGCCTTATTGGATTTGTAATTTGAATTAACAGTGCATGCAGCAGAGCGCCTACGTATTTAGATGTCTTTCTTTACTAGTTTTGTGTGCTACAGTAAATGATGGCGTTCACGTCTGTGGCTTGTCAATGGGTTGCAGGGTGTTGCAACAGAAGCTCACTGCACTTGCTGTCATGCGTTGGCCTAATGCAATCAGGCAGGATGGTCATTATCATACATTATTGCCAACACTTCTATGTTTAGCAGTGCTAGTGCAGGCGGGGAACGACTGCAGAACAAATTCATATCTCAGCAGGTAATGTAGAAAAAGGAAGTAACAGAGTGAATGAAAGGGACAATGTTTATTGAGGTTCTTTTCTCCTTCGTTCTAGGTTGCCATATATAGGCCGTGGGGTGAGATTAATGGGGTCTCTCTGTCCTGCCATTCTGTTGCATTGTATTACAGCAGCCGCTCATGTTGCTGGTGTCATGTGTTAGCATTATGAAATTGGTACCAGTAGAGGGTTATCAGCCACTGCAGGAATGAGAGAATTACAGCAAGCACCAGCTATTGATCCGTGTTGGGAAGAAGGAGATTTGTGGACCTGTTTTTGTTCTCTGTACAAGACATAAGAAAGTAGCCATTTACAGTGAGTCATGCTCATGGCTTTAAATTGCAAAATACATTTACTGCAAAGATAAAAAAAATTCCAAGCTACTCTTAGATATTATTTTAAGTGTCAACATGTCAAAAGTGTTTTTCATGGAGTTTTAACCCTATCTTTATTCTTTGAGAGCATATTTCATCAGCTCGTGCTCCCTCAAAACCCTGTGCTCTCTCTCAAATAGCTTCTGCTGAGGTGCAGATTTTATCTGCTTCGGCTCAAAACTGTCTGCACAAAGATTTGCTCTTGCTGCACACATGTCCTGTACTTGAATTTGAGTCCTTCTCCTCATGCTCAGGCTGCCTCTGTGTGCTCATGAAATAGTTTTGCGAGTAGATTTTTGTGAAATGACCCTGTGCAAAATTCCCCAACCACTAGATTGTCAGGTATGATGTTGACTAATGACATTGCCTCACCCTTATTGCGGGCGTGTTCGCTTTACTTCTCACAGCGTCCCAAGAGGAGAAAAAAATCTGCACTGGGGCTATTTTAGAGAGAGGGCAGGGTTGAGCGAAAGAATCAGAAAAACTGTACGGGAAACAAAGAACTAAAGCTCTTAAAAAATAAAGACACCACTTTTGAATAATGTTGGGAAAGAAACTCTATAGTTTTTGACTCCATGGACACATTTATATGTATAAACAGTATCACAGTACCATAAAATCATATAAGCCATTTAAGGAGACTGATCCCAGAATTAAGAAAAGGTTGTTTGTCTCTATATGAAGGAATATTCATTTTAACCTTTAAAATCCAAGCTGTGCTTGTACTTACGCATTATCTGGAAATAAACAAGAAAGGATATTATGATGCAAATCATGACAAACTTAAAATAAGTGATTTCAGTAAGTAAAAAAAACTCTTGTATAAATTTTTTGAAGTCTGGTCTCAGAAAAGCACAATTAAAGAGGAGAAAATAAGTAGCACTACCAATTAGGTTGTTATCAGTCGACAGAAGGAGATAGATGTTTCTCCCAAGGCAAGTCAAGTTGTTTAGTGCTCAACTTGAAGAAATGGCGTAATTACCACTAGCCAAAAAGATCAAAAGTGTAGCCACCAGAGCGCTGAAGCAATTAAACCGGCGCTACCCTTGGAATTTGTTTTAGTAGTAGCGAACTATAAAGTGACAGAAAAAGGCAGCAGTGCAACAAAAGTTCTGAACACAAGAGGAACAGGTAAATAACACACAGGACTCAAGAGGCATAAAACACTTTTCAATTTTCAACTTTGCTGCATCATGAATTTCACAAGGAGCAAAACGTAAGAGCACTAAAATATAATGCTAAACGGTTACTGCAGTAAAATTTCACAAGTCGTAAACCCAACTGTTGGTCACATATGTGAGATATTTGATAGCATATGTATAGATTAGCCTGATTTCCTTCTTACTCATCAGTACAGAATGAATTATTTGACAGTGGTTAAGGATTCAGAAGATCTTTTTTGTAGGTCATATTGTCTCACATGAAAAAGGTTTGAATGCACTGATTAGCTCAGATTGTTTGTGTGAGAGAAAACTATGGTAAAATTCATCCAAAGAGATGCATGTGAGGAGGATTTTAAATGTTATTTTGCCCGTCTGAAGGTGAATGTGACTTTATTAGCCCTGTGGCAGACTTGTGACCTGTCTAGACTGTACCTTGCATCTCCCTCAATGCATGCAGGGAGAGGCTGCAATCCCCCGTGACTGTGCACAGTTTTGAAAATGGATGAGTGATCTGCATTATTTGCTGGTTGCTCTGTTGCCATGCAGTGTCACCACAAATACCTTAACAGTCAATCAAATCCTATTGCTGACATTTGTTCACAAGGGTCCAGTCAATATGTTGGGATGAAACAAACTGTCCTCAGTACAAGAAAGCAGCAGGAATTGAACAATAGAATTTAAAATGGCCTAAACTAGGGTAGATGGACGTTTTAAATTTAGCACCTGGTTATGTTTTTGCATGTCTGGAGAGCATTTATATGCCGACTTGCTAACCTTTGGAAATGATGGTTCCTTTTTATCCCAGAGGCTTTTAGTCCCTCACATCTGAATAAGGGAAACTGTCATTTATTGTCACAGAGCGTGAACATGTGCCTGTGGCGTGCCTGTTCGCCACGGCTAAGGTGCTGTTTGTTTCTGACAATGAGCAATAAAACAGGTGAGCTCAAAGAAGTACTAGTGCTTAAGGACTGACCTTCTCGGTGCTGCACGATGAGTGTCTCATGTAAAATGGAGCAATATGGTGTGACCAGAATGTTCAATGGGAGCGGGTGTAGGGGGCAGTGCAGAGTTATTTTCAGAGACTAGCTGTCTGAAGCAGGTGTAGAGATTCACATAAAGATCTATACAGGGTCAGGGAGCTAATTCTTTCAGGGATACTGTGCAGGATGTGGTATGATATTGAACACCCAGCTGAGCCCGGTGTTGAGCAGCAGTTACAATCCAAGCTTTCCATATTCTGCCTATTCAGAGCTAGTGTCCTCACACAAATATTAAATTGGGAAAACATGTCACCCGCTGTAGAGCATATG